TTTGCCTTATTTTTGTTTTTTTCTGGCAAAATCCTACAAATTTTCTCAAGATCAAGTGAGTTGTGTTTCAAGAAAGCTTTTAAATAAAAATATAATAAAATTAAATTAAAAACTAATTTAAATAAATTAAAAATACTAAAAATCTTAATAAAAATTACATTAAAAATACTATAAAAATATCACCTATCAGACATTATCCTTATTGTTTGTACTAAATTAATATACAATGAATGGTGTCTTATTATTACCTAATTTGAAAAAAGTTTTATCCTCTTTTAAAACGTATTGTAGTGTATGTAGCCCTCAAAATTGTTGTTAAGATATGGATAAAACTACTCCAATATATGAGAATGACTTGTTTACATCTAATATATTGTAAATCGGTATTTTTTTTTCTGAAATTTCAAATATTATGAATGAAAGAGTTGGAAAAAATTAACATTAAAATCTACGGCATTTGATATTTTAAAAAAATAATTAACAATTTATTATTATTTATTTTGTTTTAATTGATAAGAGATTTATGTTCTCAATTATATTATAATCACGGTCCAACCTGAAAGGGATTAGTTTCTTGTTTAACGGTTAAACGGGATGTGAGACGGCACCCTTGATAAAAATCAGCAAAAAAGTTGATTTAATTTATTATACGATAATTATATATATTTATTTATCTGGTGTATGGCTTCATTCATATATTGAATTAATTCAACAAAGAGAAACACTTATCTAGATTCAGTGTATGAACCCACTCATACACTAGATCAATGGACAAGAATCACAAATTAATGGCTCTCAATTTAGTAAAATCCAACAAAATTATCTAATTAATAACTTGAGACCTTCCATTCTCACATAAATAAGAAGATTAACCAGGTTATTACCAGATGAGTTCCTTTCAGCCTTTAACTTACCGTAGCGGGCATGTCTTATAGTGCTTTTTATCTCCGGTTATTGTGAAAGTTACAAGCTTAATCGTCTTATCATGCTTTGCAAGTTGTTGACAATGTCATGAACCCATGCACGTATGAATTTATGAGTACTTAGTTAATGTCACAATTCAAATTATTTGTTATACGTAAACAAAAAAACATATTTGTTTAGAAAATCTCCATTCCCAATAAATATATATTTTCCCAATAAATATATATTTATATATAGTATATAGTATAGTATATATTATTAAACTGTGAAGCATAAAATAATATATATATAAACTGGAAGCATAAAATAAGTTAACACGCTCTCTCCATTCAACATTTCTATTTATCTTTTTTTATAGATTTTTGAGTTTTCTTTTCATTTTATTATAATTTGAATTAATTCAAAAAAAATTGATTTGATTTATGATACGATAACTGTATATATTTATTTATCAAGTGTATGGTTTCATCCATATATTGAATTAATTCAATAAAGGGAAACACTCCCCTAGATCCAATGTATGAACCCACTTATACACTAGATCAATTACAAATGATGTTATAATTTAAATGAGAGTATTTTAATCATATAGTGAGAAAAAAATAATAATAATATTATTATTTTAATTGACTTAGCGTATGGGACCACCCATACACAGATATATTCAAGAAATTTTTTTCAATAAAACCATTTGGTAGTATATGGACCACCTATATATAGAATTGTCAAATTTCCAATCCCAACCAAACAATAAACAGAAATTCATTTCCTTTATTTTTCCACCTCCTATAAAAATAAGAAGAAAAAACAAATACAATCCAACATCTAAACACACAGCAAGATTCAATCTTAATGCCAACAATTTCATCCAATGGCAACACAATTTCTAATATCAAAACTAGAAATACAATCCAACATCTAAACACACAGCAAGATTCAATCTTAATGCCAACAATTTCATCCAATGGCAACACAATTTCTAATATCAAAACTAGCAAAACCCATCCACAACCACAACTAAAATATAAAAAAATCAAGAGCTCTTGATTTCGATGTCCATTAAACTCACATACAAGAAGAGACGAAGAGTTTTAACTATGATTAAACCCCGAGCCAAATTATGTGGTCCTTGATAATAGAGTCCGGATATCGATGGTTTAAAAAATATATATCCAACAATAAAACTCCAAATTTTCCTAATAAACCCATGAAAACAAAAAACAATATAGCAAAACAACATTTTCTGAAAAAAAAAAAAAAAAAAAAAAAAAAAGAAAAAAAAAAAAAAAAAAAAAGAAAGTTTTGATGGATTTACACTACAAGTGGACCAGAATCACAAATTAATGGATCCCAATTTTGCAATATCCAACAAAATTATCCAACTAATAACATTGTGAAAGTTACAACGCTTAATCGTCTTATCATGCTGCATATGGTGTCTCCAGCTATTGTGAAAGTTACAACGCTTAATCGTCTTATCATGCTGCATATGGTGTCTCCAGCTATTGTGAAAGTTACAACGCTTAATCGTCTTATCATGCTGCATATGGTGTCTCCAGCTATTGTGAAAGTTAAAACGCTTAATCGTCTTATCATGCTTTGCAACTTGACAATGCCTTGAACCCATGCACGTACGAATTTATGAGTACTTAGTTAATGTTACAATTAAAAATATTTGCTATATGTAACCAAAAAAATATATTTGTTTAGAAAATCTCCCTTCCCAATCTATATATATATATAATTTTGAAGCAAAAAATAAATTAACACAACTCCCTCCATTCAACATTCCTATTTATTTTTTTTATATAGTTTTTTGAGTTTTCTTTTCATTTTATTATAATTTGATTGGATTTTAATATTTTCTAAGATCACTTTATCGATTTTAATATTTTCTAAGATCACTTTATCAATATAAAATTATTATCTACACTAACAAATTATGATTTGATTGGATTTTAATATTTTTCTAAGATCACTTTGTCCATATGGAATTATTATCTATACTAACAAATTATTTGAATTATAAAGTTTAGCTAAAACTTAGCTATCAAATTTAATTCCTACTATCTATAAATAATAAAATTAACTCAACATAAAAAACGTTCATGGTTATGGATTAGATTGCTGATGATCTATATATCTCTCTACGTCCCTCAATCTTCTACTTACCGGTGAATAAAAAATGTTTTCTTTGGTGAGCAATAATTTAGATATATACGAAGTCTATGTAGCTTTTTAAAAATCTTTTTTTTCTTTTAATTTGGTTAAGTGATAGTGAATATGCTGTTTGGATTGGAATAATTTTGTACTTGTCTCTTGCTAACTGATTCCATGTATATAATGAAATCAAGTAATTAATTACTAAACATTCCGAAATTGTTGAATATTCTACTAATTATTGAATTGATTATTTCAGTTTCAGGACTCTTCGAAGGAACAAAAGCATATAGAAAGCAAAATGGAGGGCTTTTTTTTTTTCGTCTTGATCTGAATGCAATTCGCATGAATATTGGTTTAATTAAAAAAATTTATATGCCTTCTTTTTCCACTGACTAATTTGTCAATGCTGTCTTATAAGGTACTCTCTCATTTGCTGTATTATTTATTATTAATTATCAAATAAATTAATTATTAGTTTTTAAATTGTTAGCTCATATTTTTGTTTTTTCATTTATGTTCTTGGCTTTCACTAGCTTTTTTTGGAAGGTTTTCATCTCATCTAGGTATTTGTTTGGAAGGTAGTACACGAAATATTAGGTTGTTGAAATCAACAACCACAGCTCGTGGGAGGCTTTGAATATCTGCTGTTATTTTGACTTAAAAAAATTTTACCTTATCCTTTTGCCAAATGGAAAAACATTCTTGCTTGCTTTCTGTAACTTTTGATTTGGTAAAAACCTAATTAATATTAATAAATAATTAAAATATATTTTGCTGTTAAATAATTTAATAAACCTAATTAATATTAATAAATAATTAAAATATATTTTGCTGTTAAATAATTTAATTATAAAATAAATAATATATCCATCTATATATCATCCATTTGAATTGAAAAACTTTATTTGTATGGAATTATCTATGATAAGATAAATTGTTTGAATTATAACTTGAACTAAAACCTTTACAAACTTTAATTAAAGCCTAAACATTTAATTGAATTGTATAGTTATTTAAAATAAATTAATGGTGCTACAATTTCTATAATTTAATAATTTTACTAATAAGATGATAGTTTGATAAAGCAGTCTGCGGGAAAACAGGTTTTTTAATAATATACCAAACACAACTTAATAAATATAATATACAACGATAAAAAAATTCATAGAAAAAATAGGTCTTTAATATATATTTATAAATTATAAGCAATCCGCGCAAACGCGTGAAGTTTCGCTTAGTTATATTTATAAAAATTAATATTGATAGGTCGTTCGAGCTTTTTCTGGGAGTATGGCATGGATTACTTCAGCGCAGTAGCGCCTTGAGACAAGCAAATAATCAAATGAAAGTATCTCTTTGGTTTAAAAAGGACATAAAATAAGTTAAAGATCATTTGTTTTGTCTTATTTATCGGTTTACTTAGATCCCAGCTTATTTCATCAACCAATAATAACTAACTAAATAATTAATAATAGCTTTGATATTTTAAATAATAAAAATTTTTCAGTATCTTTTTTAATTTAATATCTAAAAAGTTTTTCAGTTTTTCTCAATAATTTAATAAATAATTAATAATATCATTAATATTACTTCAAATTAATAATATCATTAATATTACTTCAAATATCAAAAATATTTGTCATTAACTGATTTTTCTTCTACAATTCAAATATCAAAATCTAAAAATACTTTTCAAATAAGTTATTTCTAAAAATAAAAGAAGCCTAAATGAAGAAGTTTTTCAGTTTGTCAAGTGGAGTCCTTGTAGGGCTTGTCGCAGTCGGTGAACGACATATGTCATAGATTTCATGACACGCATCACTATAACGAGATTTCATTAAAAAAAAAAAAAAACGATGTCGTTTTCTGTAGAGCGCGGTCAGCTGACAAAGCATATTATAATGATGACACGAGGTTAAAGCGCGCCGTCTGAAAAACCTTCTGTGTCGAGAAGGCGCGATGCTATGGTGGTTCTCCACTTGTCTTCTAGTTCATCTTTTATTTCTTTGAGTAACAACGTCGAACGGCTTATGTGCGCTGCAACCAAACAAGTGAAGTGGTCGAAAACGTATAATGCAACCAAACAAGTGAAGTGGTCGAAAACTTATAAAGAAGTAATATGATTTTACCAGTGGTAAAGCTAGGAACGCTTGCTCTCAAAACGGTTTGCAAACCCATAGCCAATAGGCTCAAGAAGGAAGCAGGGCTGCACCCCAGGTTCCGTCAGTTCATAATCAACATTGCACAGGTTCTCTTCTCTTCTATTCTTTTCCCTTCTTGTGCAATTATGTCAATTCTTGATCTGTAAATACTCTGTCTTTGTCTATAACTTTGTCGATTTCAGTTTATTTTCCTTTATTAGGCAAACCATCGATTCACAACAACAGTGCAAAGGCGGATTTACGGTCATGCAACTAATGTTGCAATACGTCCTTTGGATGAGGAGAAGGCTGTCCAAGCTGCAGCTGATCTTATTGGGGAACTCTTTGTTTTTACGGTATTTCTCTCTTCCGGTTCCTGTTGCTGGTCTAAAATTATATAAAAAAGATTGGATTTTTAGGCATACCTTTGCAATTTTGCATTGCTGTTCTTGAATGTGTATCAAATGTGTATCAACATCTAAATGTTTGTGTTTTCTGGTATATAAATTTCATAAATTGTTTTTTCCAAGCAGGAATAATTCTAAACTGGTTTTGCATGAATTGGGTAAACTGATGAAATTCCCATTTCTTTCAGGTTGCTGCAGGTGCTGTCACTTTTGAAGTCCAAAGAAGTTCCAGATCAGAAGCAAGAAAGGAGGAGATAGTTCCAGATCAGAAGCAAGAAAGGAGGAGATGCGAATACGGGAATTACAAGTATGTGTTTATAACTTTATATCATCCCTTGACCCACTGTGTTGCCCTGACATTATATTTTGATTGACATTTTTATGCACCTTTCTAATAGAGAAGCTTTGTTTCTGCCCATTATCCATTTTTCGTTGTATTTTTTCTTTATTGAAATTGAGGAAGAAAGGGAGTTGACAGATGGATGGAATATGATAAAGATGATAAGGTATTTAATTCAAGCATTATCCACTTGGTCTCAAAAATTTATATAATCTGTGTAGACCGTAGGCATGGGTTGCCTGGAATTCCAAAATGTAAAATTTCTAATCATGGAAAATCAAGTTGATGCATTGTCTATTTATTTATTGAATATACCATTTCCTCACGTGGAATGGATCCATCAGAAAGTGGTGCAATTTACACTACTTGTGTCTATTTAAATTATCTTATCAAATGTTAACTTCAAATGTGTAATAGTGGTTTGGGTACCATCTACAATAATCAGCTTTCCTCCTTTTCTGCCCTTAATTACTTCTTTACATTTCTTCAATATCTTTATACGTTCTTCATCACTCCAATCGTGCAAAATCCACTGCTTATAACCAACAATAAGAATCAAAAATTGTTAACAGATACAAAAAGAGGAACAAAAGAAAAAAAGAAAAGAAAGAAAAGAGATAGAAACGAACATGCCTTTAGTGCCCACCGTACCCCCCCCAACACTTTCCATTTACGCCCCGCACCACTCCCGGTCTCTCTCCTGGGCAAAACCAAACACTCCATCTCAACCCACACACGGCGCAAATGCCACCCACCACCTACAACCGCGCACGTTCTACTCCTTCCTGCCACCACCGCACAATATGATAGGAACATACGGTTTTTCCCTTTTTTTTTACATAGATTCATTATCTCTCCTACTCCTTTACCATCCCTCCTGTCCGCTGCCGCACCTCCACCATCCACTTCCACTCTCCGCGCGCGGTTCCTCTCCACACCGCCGACATTCTTCACTGCGTTCGCCGCGCATCCTGCCGCCCGCGCACCACTCCGCCACAAACACGCGCTCAACCCGTCAACCGCAGGCGCCTCCCCACTCCCCTCCTCTATACTCGCAACCCACCCCCTCTTCTCCCTCCGAGACCCACATCACCACACCCACTCCGCCCGACCATACCAACGCAACTGCCATCTTACACACCTACTCACTAACAATCGCCACCCCATCTCCCCGCGCCGCACCAAACCCCCTTCACGCCACACACTCTCTATCTTCCGGTCGCGCTCTCCGAGCCGGTACCAGCACCACACTCTTCCCACTTCCTACCTCCCTCCAGTCCGTTACACTGTCGCCTTCTTCACACTCCCGAATCCACTCACCCCCGCTCGCACCACGCCGCCACAGCCTCCCGCCGCCGCCTCCTCCCTCTTCGCCCCACCCCCCTCCACCCCAACCACCACCGCGCGCCTCCTCCTCACTCCTCCTTCCTCACCACCTTCTTCCCACACCTTCTGCCTACCCACACTCTCTTCCCGCCTTACCTCGACTCCACTTCCTCAACACATCTCCTCTGCGCCTCTGGCGGGCTTATCACGGAGTTTTTATCTGAGAACACCTCGCAGGCGCTCCTTCCACCCGCTCACACGCGCCCTTTCACACTTCCTTCTTTACACCCTCTCCTCCACAGTCCTTCCCCCCAAACCCCCCTTTCGCTCTCCCTCTTCATACACTATCCCTCTCCTCTCCTGCCCCACCACTCTCCCTCTTTTCTCTCGGCGCACACCCAACCACCACCCTTCCTCTCCTCTCTATTCGCAACACACCTCACCTCCCTTTTTAATCTACTTCTTTAGCAATCTTCAATATCTTTATACGTTGTGCTTCATCGAGTCGAATCGTAGACAAAATCCTGCTATTATAAACCAATAAGATTATAATCAAAAATATTAACAGATCAAAGAGAAGAGTGAACAAAAGAAAAAAAAGGAGAAGAAGAAGAGATAGAAACGAATGCATTAAATAAATAATGGCATCAAGCCCGAGGAATCTCCTCAAACATGCTGCCACCACACCAGATATTTCAGTTTCATAAACAAAATCTTTTTGGCAAGACCAGCAACGACATGTGGGAGATCAAAACGACGCGCAGAGCGGCGGACGTGAGGGCAAAGATCAGCTAAGGCCTTAAGCCCATAATAGGTGTCCTGTGCGCAATCTCCAACATCAGTTCAATGACTTCAAGCCACATCAAAAAACTATTCTCTTGCCATTTCCATTTTTATCATAATACCATAACAACCTGGCATCACTTGCACATAGATTTTTGTCTAAACAGATCTGTTGCCCAAAATTGTGAGGCACAAAATTTATCTTCAGCATATTCCCCTAAGCTTTACCATGCAGATGTGTGCAAAATTGGTGTTTGGTCACCATTCCAAGCACGCCCAATTTGTTCTAAAATAGATTCTCATGGTCCCTGTTTACGTAACAGTGATCAAGTGCACGGTAAGCAGAAATGGGCAGTCAACAGCTGTCGATGGATTTTCCTATTAACAAGAAAGCTAGTTCGGTTTGGCTAGAACATAGTCGCTCTCCTGTATTCTTGGCCATTTTTGCGTGTAGGGGCTAATCACTTTTGCGGAGTCAGCAAAAAATAACCCAGAATGAACAAAAATACGCATCAGAGGCGAGGAATAGACAATGAGCTTTGGTTGGGCTCTCTGTATAGATATGGCGCACTGATTAGGTCTGTAAAGAGTCATACACCGCGCGCACCATGCTTGTTAATGGCATCTGGTAATTACCTAGGATTGGGAACTGCATTTTATAAAAGATCATGGAATTTATGAAGAGATTGAAAATCACTCGGTTCCATATATGAGCTTTGAGCTTCGAGTTGACTTGAGTTATCTAGAATCTTGGTCTCGTGGAAGATCGCATCAGGCACCATTGATTGTAATGGAGATTTTGTTAAGAGTTTGTAAATACTTTAGGATATGGTACGTAGAGATATATAATATGATGAGATCTGGGTGTATTAAGGAGCCGCGGTGATGCCCTGGCGACGCAACGCACGGTCACAATTAAAATCACTTGTATATTTTATATACCAATATAAATTTTAATTTGTATTATTGTCTCTTAGTGGGTTTCTATTGTCCTAATGGACTTTTGTAATACAATCGTAAGCTGCCCTTGATGGCTCTGAATCTCACTTGCTCCTCAGAATGAGCCTGCTAAAAAAAGAATTAATGTAGTGGGAAGATGAAAAGTTGATGTATAATCAGATCACAATGTACGATCTCACAAAATCGATTTTAAGGGTTTTCGCTTATTGTTATGTGAAGCCTTATAGTGATTATTGATACTCGCACATTAGAGATACTATAAACTTGGCGATCACAATGTATATATATCAAAAGAGAATGAAGAAGTGTGGAGATTTTTTTATGATAATAAATTAATTATGGAGCTTATAGTATACTGGTAGAGAGGAGATAAAGGTTTAAAGGAGTCCCTATAATCTCATTTAAACCTCAATTGAATAAGCGTTATTCACCACCATAGCACTTGATTGTTATATTATTTTTCATTGCCCTAATTACTTTTAGAGACAACATTGAAATTCATGACCTTCACTTGGAAGACCCTTTACGGACTGGGTCATGATCTCATTGCCTGTGAGTATAACAACCACAGAGAGTGTCCAAGCCAATGTTTTTCTTAACCGTCTTCGGTTCATTTTAAGACTTACTAACCAATTACTGCAACACACATATTTTGTAAAACTCAGGAGATTCTTAAAACAACTTTTAACTGGTCCTTGCTTCAAAAGAAGTTAAGTTCGAGTGGATCGAAACTCTCATGCAATAATTGTCTGTATACAAAAAGGTTCAAATTTTTAGACATGCATTTGCAATTTTTGTAATTGTTTTTCTTGAATTTGGTAATTAACAATATAAATTTGGTGTGGGTCTTCGGGCGGTTTCACTTACCAACCATGCACTTGAAATAATTGTAATTTGTTCCAAATTGGTAATACTTACATGAAATTCCTTTTTTTTTTACCCGAGGATTGAGCTTTAGTGGAAAAGTCCAAAGAAAGTTCCAGAAAGAAAAGACAGAAGAAGGAAGGAAGATGCGAATATGGGAATTACAAGTGGTGTGTTTACTAACTTTCAAATATTCACACGATCGTCTATGAAACCTTGTGTCTCGCAGAGGAACCAATCCCTGTCCAATCCTCTTACAGCATCTTTCTACAGGAGCCTTTCCATTCTCGTCCGTTGTGCTACTCCTTCCCGTCTCGTACTTTTTTCTTATTTTTACCGAGCGAACTGAGGAAGAAGGGAAGTTGAAACTTTATGAGAGATATGATTGGAATATGATAAGATTAATAAAGGGAGTTAATATTTTAAAATGAGCAATTATCCACACCATCGGGCCTCAAAACTTACCACTTCCATATGTGTGTCTCAATATTAGGCTCTAGGTTGTTGGGTTACTTAGTAAATTCAAGATGTGGAACGTCCTAAGCCGCCAAATTGAGTTGGATAGTTGAACGAAACCATGAGGAACTTGACAAAATATAGTTGGAAGGCGTTTTCTTTATATACTATTAAGTAAATTCTTTTAAAAATATCTTATCCCAACTTTTGCAAAGCTTAAATATTGCAATTAAAGAGCAAATTTTCACAGACTAAAATTACATTTTTCACTCGCTACTGGCAATTTAATAATACCATCAGGCCGAAAATTCGATACATGCATTAGCTATTGGGTTTAAGTAAACCTGTATATTATTCTGTAAGATAAAGGAGGCACCTGATAATTTTCTGAGTTGTATAAAAAATCCAAACTAAGTGGAGGTCCTATAGCGGTGGAGAAGTATAAAAAATGCAGAAAGTAACGTTAAAAAGATGAACTAAATGTGAAGGCTCTAAAGCGCAATTGTTGGAAGTTGAACGAAAACCAGAGGAACTTGACAAATATAGTTGAACTTTTCTTTTTTATCCTTTGTAATTCTTTAAATATTATCCCAATTTGAAAGCTTAATTTGCAATTAAGAGCAAATTTCACAGACTAAAATGTAATTTTATGTACTAATTTAATATAATCAGGCGAAATTCGGATACATGCATTAGTATTTTTAAGTAAATTTTATTTGTAAGATAAGGAGACGAATTTTATTTATAAAATCAAATAAGTAGGCCCAAGCTAAGAAGAAAAAACAAATGCAGAAAGTAACGTTAAAAAGATGAACTTTTGCTGATCGTAATGGCAAGGGAAATGTTATACTAATGAAATTTATTTATTTATTTGTTTATAAAAAAAAAAAAACCAAAAATAGAGGCTGAAATATGTCATTCTTCCATGTGACTCAACGACACCGTTGTCATATTCCGGGCAAGATTTCTAAACAAGCCTATATATCGGACCGCCTATTCCTATCAAGATAACACCTTTACTCATTGCATTGCTATGAAAATTGAATGTTTTCCCTCCCAAAATAACGACACATAAACCACAACAACAAAGCTTTTTCTCTCGTGATTCTAAGCTTCGTTAATGAAATCTGCCCCGGCCGTACTTATAAATTAACGACTTAACTTAATATTTTATAAAACAAACCATCCATAAAACTTAATTAT